TAATTAGCAGAAAGAAATAGATGAACATAACGTGATTAGTGATTGACTTACACCAAATACCATCAAAATTGATCCAGTTTCGCAGTGTTTCACTCGGTGATTGACTCCCTTTCTTTACATGCAATTCTTGCAAGCTCATCCAAACTTCCGCCACATTTGGAAAAACTGCAGAGTTTAATTAAGAAATATAATCGTTTGTTTGATATGAACGACTAAAAACTGATTTAAGTTTTGATCACTTATTTCTCGCTTCCTAAATGCATCCAAACATGCACATGTACTGCATCTTCCTATCACCATATCTAATATATTATAGTACCGCAGCTCAATCTCAATTTGCTTTGAATCTAACCAATAGATTTGTAAACGGATTGTAATAAACTGTGAAAGAATGAATGGACTTGAGACTCTATTTACAAAAAAAAAAAACTTAGTAACAATGGAGTTCCTCTTACCTATTGTTAAGAGCAGTGTTGGGCGAGTGATTACAATTGGGTTCAGAGGTGCTGCTACTGCTGCTCGTAATACTTTCGGAGTGCGTTACGCGCACCATTCTCTCTGCGACATCTCGGGAGATACCACGTGACTAGAGCACCAACATCAAATTTATAAATACTATCACAAAAAAGTAAAGAGCACAACAGACCAAAACAAGCGATTGGATAATGACTTCTGGCATGAGCACTTCGAAGACTAGATGAACGCCGGGCAGGAAATAGGCATCATGTTCGCGATCTCGTACCCAAGTAAAGATCAAATCAAACAAACTATCCGTTTCGTGGTCTAAAAGTTGAATTCATTAATATAGTATTTTTTTGTTGATCGACCATTTCGATGCTTAGTTGTTTCGCACAAGAACTGACTATCTCAAAATTTATCATTCGATCAAAGCTTTGAAAAAATGGGAAATATAAATTCTGAAGCCTTTTGGAGTAAAATTTCACCTGAAAGTAAGCCTCCTGTATGCATTTCAAATCGCAAGCTTGAACGTGGAGGCGTTACGTAACTCTGTACCAGACTAGTTGTCCAAACGCGCTCAAGTATAGCTATTGCCTCGCGGAATATCTAGACGATGGTTCATAAAAAAGAAAAACGTGAACATTCATTAACGCTTACAGTAGGAGCTAGGAGATCTGGGGATGGTGACGTGTCTGAATGCGTCGTTGAATCTGCTGCAAATGCGGAAGGCCTCGGAGGAGAATGGGTGACAGGTTGACGTTTGGCCAGATTGAGCGAGTCCGACGAAGCAGAAGCTTTTCGCTTGACAGTCGCCTTCGGTACGGGAACTTCGACAACAATTTCTGCATATATTACGTTTTCAAGGACATTCCATAGCTGAATCATTTGCGTTACAAAAATGATAATGAGTTCAAGGGATAAAGATGAAAAGAGTGACGAGGCTTAGCTACAGCAAGTAATTAGTTTAACATTAATTCAAGAAACATACCTTCCTTTGGTGGAGGAATGATATTGACAACACTCTCCTCGTCTTGCTTCTTTTCCGTTTCCAATTTTTCTTCAGCACAAAGCGGATTGGCCTCTATTTCAATATTCGGATTTTCCTAAGATTTGAAAAGTTACGAATAGCTTGTTGATAAGGTTCTAAAAAGGTTTGGATGAACCTGAGATGCAACAGCTGCTGGTGGGTTTACATCAACCTCGGAAAGTTCTTCTTGGAGAAATTCCTTTCTAAGAACCTCTCCCAACGTTTTCTCATGAGATAACTTCTTTGTTTCGTTAGAAGCATTTGTTTCTTTCGACCCGGACTCTTTGGAGGTGGACTTGGCGGAGTAGAGTGGAGCATCAGAACCCTAGTGATTTTGAATTATTTTATCAAACTCGCTAGATAGCCTAAAAACTTAGGAAAGTAGAATGTATTTCTGGAAAAGAACAAAGCAAGAAAGCAGGGTTGCGGTTTCAATTCACAAATTTCATTCAAAAGTCCAGACTGAACATAAAGGTGATTAAAAAGGTCTGCATAGACTATTCAGAACAAAATCAAATGTTTTTCTTTGATAACGTACCTTCGTCAAACCTCTGCTTTTGAGATACTGCTTGGCTAGTTTGAACGCATTTTTGA